TTTTTTTATAAAAAGAATATTATATATTTAAATTGTATAATATAAATTATTATGTTAAGATTAGCTCTTGTCTAACGATTTCACCAATCTACAAAGCAAAACAAAGAACCCCTTTTTTTTTTTTGGTCAAAATACAAAAAGAAAAGGAAAAATTCTTATGTGTATCCATTAGATTTTCTATCATGATTTAGTGAAAACTTAATTTTTAATTTTATATAAACTAATACCCCATAAGTTATATACAAATATTCAAGTAGTTGATGACAAACTTCAAACTCTGGATCAACCCAACCCAAGTACTAAAACTTGCGAACGAATTAATAGACCTTGAAGGACGGTTCTTCCATTCATTGTCTTTGACATTGAAAACAAATATTATACTAACTATACTTTATTCAATCAGAGAATATTTTAATTAAATTACTATTATTTTCTATGTTTCTGTTCTATGCTTAAAGATTGCATAAGTTTTAGCTTAATAATCTGGTGCCATTTGAAAAAATAAATTAAAAGGATTTGTTGGGTTGAAAAGTTTGATTGAATTGATTGCTATTCTGGTTAGCGGTGGTGGCGGTGGTGGTGGCGGTGGTGGTGGAAATTGCGATTTGTATATGGAAAACATTTAAAAGCAAAACAAGAAAGATGAACAGATGAGAGAGAGAGGTAATGGGGTAGAGTTATGTTTTCTGTTGCTTAATTTTAATAATTATTCAAATAAGATTAAGGATAAATTAGTTCTTTAGGTCTTTTAAGAGATTTTAGGTTAGATGAATGGCAATTTATTTATTTATTTTTGGTACTATGATAATTTAAATACAATACTAAAAATGTAAATCTGTATTAAGGGTATTATGAATTTTTTTTTTAAAATTTCAATACAATTATAATAAATTTAATTAGAACATTTTTATTTATATAAAATTAAAAATTAAGTTTCCACTTAGTATACAAATAAAAATGTGTGATGAAACTACTTATTAATTTAAATAGAGAAAGTTTCATTATTTTCAAATCAAATTTTAAATTTAAATATTATAAATAAAAAAATTTTAAAAGAATCTACCATTTTTTTTATTTTCATAAAACTTAAGGTAACTTAATTTTAAGTTTCAATGACATATGAATAAAATAAGATAAATAAGAGATAATTACATCCTATTAGTCAATCAAGATAAAAAAAAAAAAAAAAAACTTAATTTTAAGTTTAAATATAAATTTCGAATATCAACAATTACTTAAGGAAAAAAAGAAAGAAAAGAAAAAGGTGTGATGGATACGCTACCAAGAATTTTCCATGAAAGGAGAAAGGGCGGTTACAGACATACTGTGGGAGAGTCAAAGGATATCGTCCCGACGTGGGCATGTGGCGAAACAGGCCCAACTTATTCGTTCTGCACCCTTCGCCAATAAATATGGATGGCCGCCGTTTCGTTCTTTCACTTATATAAAACTCTGCAGCTCTAAGAACTCAAGCAATCTTCGCATTCACCGGCTGGAATAAGATCGCCGATTCTGAACGACATCACCTTTCGCAAAAGCCTTGGTACGTCTTCCCCTTCTTTCCCTTCATTTTCTTTTCATTTCTTTTCCATTCGTTGAGGAATGAGGAACCTTTTTATCTCAATCCATTAACGGACTGATAACAAGATCATTCATGCATTAATTGATTCACTCCTTATTAAATTCAGCTCAGACCCAATTTCATGCACTTTTCCTTTTCTTTCTTTTTTTTTTTTTTTCTTTTTTTTTTATTTAATTTATTTGGTTCCTGTAATGGTCGGCAGATCTTCAAACAGCGGAAAAGACAAAGAAAGTTGATATTAGACGCATTGAGTTCACCCACCTACAGCGTCAAAGGTAGTGCATTTAAGCAGTGGGATCCACTTTACACTTTCGCACAGAATTTTTTTGTTCGCTGCTAAATGCTAAGTGAGGTCTCTTTCTCTCTTTTAAGGATTTAGGGATTGGTTGAAAACATCAAGAATCAAAACCCACTTTGGTTGAAATCTGTTTTTACCACATAATTATGGTCATTATATTGAAAGTGACAACTTAATATGAATGATAGAAAAGTTGGTAGGTGTTAGGTTAGATGGGCTTCTCTTTGTTAATATTTAACTAAGCTATAGAGATTATTGCAATTTGCTGGTTTGATATCCCATGTGGGGTATGTTAAGAGGTGATTCGTTATAGCTTCGGTCACAACATAAATCTCAAGGGTTCATAGCTAGCGTTTTTTATTTTTCCTTTATATATAAATAATCAATTTGGCAGTTGTTTTAGCTCCCAAGTTCTGTATTAGACCTTGCTGTAAATGGAATCATAACTTGTATTTTATTTTATCATTCTTGTCTTTGTGTCTATTTGATTGCTTTTACCATGACCATGAGTCACAAAATGTAAATGGATGTTGCTATATTTTTTTCCCTGCAGAGCTGAGCAGATAAATGATTGCCTTGCAGTTAAAGAGTTCTTCTTGCTGTTGTTTTAGTGCTTAGAAAGGCTTGCAGCTGCATATTCTGTAACTTCTTGTTGTTTTTGTTATTTGAATTAATAGCGTTGATCAAGATATCATACTTGTCAGAGGGTGACGGGATTTGAACTTTGTAGTTTTCCCTCTAAGGGTGGTTTAACTGTACCTTATTGAAGTGATTTGGTTGATTATTTTAAATGCAAGAACATGTTTAGTTTGGTGCAATAAATCCTACAAGTTTAGTTAGTCTGAGCCAAAGCTAATCTCCTTAACATTAAGGTGGTCATGATCAACTTGGATGAAGATATCCATTTATGGTCTAGAAAGGCATAAAGAAGTCTGACTCTGTCCATTTATGTGAATATTCTAATTGTGTGGACATTTTTTATTTTTATTTTTTTTGTTTGGTCATATGTTGCCAATCTCACATAAATACTTGTTTTTATCTGGTTATCTTCCAAGTTTGTCCTTTTGTTTTTCAATTTACGTGGGTGTAACCAGTTGTTCTTGTTTAAAATTTCTTTATCTGTAGAGCAGTTGAGAATCATTAACCAGCACTGCCATTGATAACATTACATCATAAGCAGCTCTCTCTTTTGGTGCATGAGTAGACTTTGATCATTTTACTACTTTTGAAGTTTTCTCCAGAGAAATGCACTCAGTGGCCATGGATCCTTCAAGTAATGACATCGAACCTAAAGGAATTGGGTCGTTTGGTATGACAAGCAGTGCAGGCTCTTCATTTAGAAGGCACTCTTTGAGTATATCACGAGCTCATTCCTTTCAATTAAATGATGACATTGAAAGTGAGGCAGTTTCTCTGGCAGGAGATGCTGGTGATTTGGCTCTTCATAGCAGTAGGCATGGTCAGAGTAGCAGAATAAGTTTTGCCATTGATAATGCTTTGGAGAGCGGTGCAGTGTTTCCAATTCCAGAAGATAACATGTTGCGATCATATGGATTTTGGGGCCGTGAACCACCAACACAAAATGCAATCTCCCCTGTGTCACCAATGCCAGAGGAAATCATATCTCCTCTTTCCACAACTGCACTGAATTGCTCTGAGGAGAAAGATCAAGTGAGCTTCCAGTATTGCTTTTCCTTGATTTTCTTATTGTTTATAATGATGATTTCGATTAAATATCTAGACACAGGTGTCTGGTTTGTGTTGTTATTGGTGATAACATGTATTAGAAATAATTTTTCATTATGTTTACATTTGTGTCATGTTCTTCATGTCTCCACTTGCAGGATGAAGATGAAGCTCTGCCTTTGTTTTTGGAGTATATATATTGTCTCCTGCATTTAGCTATTTTTGGAATTCTTGGGGTAACTTGCTTGACCTTCACATTTTCTGAGTTAGCTAGGTTTTGCAATAGGAAATGATTAATTAGATTTGAATATTTGAAGAGTTTTTATTTCATTTCGCTTATATACAAAGGACAAAGTTTACCTTTTACTTAGTATTTTTGCTTCTAGCAAGCTCTTCCCTTAGAAACTGTGATTGTAAAGATTGATTAGCATGCATTTTGAAGTTATTACGGTTTATGTTTTACAACATGTTGTACATCATTATTGAGATCTTAACAACATAATCTTGGGGGAGAGTTACTTTATCTAATAACAAATCTGTATCCACCTGGCCTCAGTTCAGTTGACATCTTTGCTTATATTTATCTGAAGGAAGCTATAATTTTTGATTGTTTCGTTTATTTATTTTTCGGGTGGAGACTGCGGCAGAGGGGACAGATGTTCTTCTGGATATTCTTTTAATCACATATTTTCTTAAATTTTTGGTACTGTGATTTCATCTTGTTGCTCCTTTTTTCTTCCCCTTTTTCGTTCTAGCCAGAGTGGATATGTTAAGAGTATAATTATATGAAGGATGTAGATTTTAATTGAAAATAATATATTAGCAAAGTTTTAATTTGTAAATGTGAAAATCTGCAGGTTTTATCCAGATATTTGTTGCAGAGACTGTTTGGGCCTAGTACTGCTGGTCTAACCAGCCATCAAAGCATTCTATACCTGGACCTTCCTTCTAATTTGGTATGGTATACATCAATGTTAAGTTTTGAACACAGATGCAAGCACTTTGTGTGTACATGCATGCTTGGTCTTCATCAATATTAGGTTTTGTTTTGGTTTGGGTAACCTACATCTCATGCAAAATTGGAATACATCTTTTCTAGGTTGGTTCCTTCTTGATGGGTTGGTGGGGGGTTGTTTTCAAAGAAGAGATATCTAGAGTATCTAATCATTTGGCAATTGTATTGACAACTGGATATTTGGGAAGCCTTACGACTTTCAGTGGTTGGAATCAGGATATGCTTGATCTCAGTGTACATGGACACTGGCTATTTTCTCTATTTGGCTTTCTATTTGGTAATGTGCTTGGAAAAGTCATTATGGTTCATGAACTCTTTTATTTTTGGCTACTTTCCTTAGGCTGACAAATTAACTGGAGAACTGCTTTTCTGGTTCAAAACCATTTCTTTTATATTATGGTTTGTTGCAGGCCTGTTTCTTGTAGATCATTTCATCATTTTTGGGATTGAGACGGCTAAGGGTTTCCGCTGGTTACTCAAAAGGATAAAAAGAACTAAAGAGAGAGAAACGTCTAGCACTAAGATGAAGTGGAGGGTGAACAGGTACAGTCGACATTGGCCAGTAATGGTAGTGTTACTGCTGTCTCTCGGTGCTTTATGGAGTCTCAGTGGAGCATTGCTAAAGGAGGAGTTCAACAGTACTAGTGCAGGACCTCAGTTGTGGCTGGCTTGCTTGGTTGGACCACCGGGTGTGTGGATCAGGTGGTTCTTAGCTCGATTTAATGGCCGTGGATTAGGAAAGGCAGGAATTTTAAGGTGGGTTCCATTTGGGACCCTAGGTGCTAATGTTTCTGCAGCTTGTGTCACGTCAGGGTTGGCTACCTTGAAAAAAGCGGTAAAGGTTTATTTAGTGGTGTTTGTCCTCACTTGTCCCTTCCTATTCCCCTTGCTTTTCATCCTAATGTAATGTCTATTAGTCTCATATTTAATCTGCGGAAATATTTGAATTTACTCGAGTTCAAATCTTCATTGTCAAAAAACATTATCTGCCAAATTTTTATGCAACTTGTTTTTCTCACCTGATTTTATACATTTGGGTCTTTTGCAGATTTTTCATGGGAACCCTGCTCTTTAGTATAGTTTATGTCTCTTTGTTGCACCCTCAAGATTTAGTGTTTCATGAATGATTCTTTATCTTTTAGCCCACAAATGTAGAATGGAATCTAGGTGATAGATAAAACTCATGGGATAGAAAAACACTAGGACTGAGGGGTTGAGATTTATCAGTCTTAAGAGTACAGGAATGTTCAAGCTTTGACTAACACATAAATATTGGGAAAGAGGCAGCCTTTTGAAGTCATTCCAATGAGTCCCAGTGTTAGACACAGGCAAGAGTGCCAAACCATGCAAATGTGGGTGGCAAGTGATTCATTTTAGACAATTAATGCTTAATCTGCAAAATTGTGTGATGTTTTGGATTATATATTTGCTTAGAGCATTATTATTGTTTTTAGCCACTGCTTGGAGTAGAATGTTAAAAGTTATTTTTGATGAGGTCAGTTTGGTTTGTTGCAGGTAAATACCAGGACTTGCGATACAGTTGTAGATGGTATTCAGTTGGGATTCACGGGTTGTTTGAGTACCGTTTCTGCTTTTATTGTCGAGTTCAATGCAATGAGAGGAAGTCAACGGCCTTGGAGAGCATATGCTTATGCTCTCTCTACAATAACTCTCTCATTTGGTTTTGGGGTTCTTTTCTATGATTTACCCGTTTGGGTAAAAGGCTACAAGTAAAACTTGATGCGCTTCAATGCTAGTCACTTTCTCTGGAATACGCTTCTAAGCAATAATGCCGACAAAAGTGCAGTGACTTCAACTTATCATGGAGAAAACGCAGCAAAAAATTATAAATTACTGGAGTCATTTTCTAGTTGTAAGATACATATTTCTATTTAGTTTCTGAATCTTCTTCTTGGAATCAAAATATAGGTCTTTATAAGGAGTGGTTAGCACTAAACTATTAGGTCTCAGTTAGTAAGATCAAAGCACATACAGGTCCTAGTCTAGATGGTATGTATTTTTGTTTCTTTGTAAATAGTTAATAAAACCTTACTCTCTCTCTCTCTCTCTCTTTTCATTATTCGACAGAAGTTATTGAGAAGAGGAAAATATATGTGCAAGTTCATCTGTTATGGACGTAAATGGAAGAGGTTCAAGGTTTTTGGAGAAAACTTGACAATGATCTTTATTTCAGATGCAATATTGAGAGAGATGGAGACCTCAAAATAGCAAGCAAGCAGCCTGTGGATAGGATGATATGGTTTTCCTATATTCTTCTCTTTGCAGCGGAGCTTGGTATTGAATTCAGAATCCAGTGGCATTTAAACAAACACGGCCTCATTGCGGAGGCTTTGTTCAGTTTCAGTTAAGCTTAGCGGCTAAACTCTCTGGTCTTATATTTGGGTGGGTTCGGCTCATTGACATTGACGAGTTCAGGATGAGCCTTGGCAAGTTAGCATTTTAACACAAAAATGCAACAATATTTGCGCTTAGCAGTTCCTGAGAAAATGCAACAAAATTGGGCTTAATGCCATTTGTGAAGAAACGAGAATGTGTTTGGGGGAAGACTGGAAAGGTTTCTGGATACACTGAGTTTATTCTCTTTTACAGGCATCTATAGACGTTAGAAAATACTATTAATGGGTAGTTTAATGGTTAAAAACTTAATATTTAAAGTTAGAGATTTCAAACTTCAGAGAAAAAAGAGAACTATTTTTTCTTGTATAACTTGTTTAGATATACAAAAAAAATTGATGTTAAAAAATAAAAAATAAAAGTTCACTTTAATTTTATTAGCCATTTATTTAAAAAATTTCACATAATATTAGTATTGAAAATAAAATTTATTTATATAATTTTTTGTATTGAAGATAAAATTTATTTTTATAATTTTTTATATAAATTAATAATAAAACTATGATTAATACACTTTAAAAGTACATATTAAAAAAAA